CTGTACAAATTGAACTTGCACAGTGTTGTATATCAATTATGTCTCAATAAAACTGGGAGAAAATTAATGGCCAAGCAGATAAATACTAAGCAGAGATAGGGACATGTCCAAAGGACACAGGATCCAACATGAAAGCTTGCCATGGCCAAATCTGGAAATACTTGAGCTATAAACAAATATGAGTATTATGCTATATTCTAATGGAAAATGCCCATATATCTTGCTGATATGAAAAATGATTGAATTCATCAATAAATAATAAATAATAGTTTCTTAGCAAATAATTCTAATAAATACATGTAGAAAAAAGACAAATAGAAAACCAGCAGCATAATATCACAGTAATAATTGCTGAGGGCAAAATCCACTCATGAAAGCTTAAATTAGTGGGAGAAACTGGATATATCGGCATAGCCTCAAAGTATATCTTACTGAAGTCTATTAATTACTCTGGTAGTTTTAACATATTCCTCAAAACTCTATTATACTTTTTTCTTCAGACAATGGAGCTTAATTCCATATTACTCAACTGTAGTCTAGACTTAGCTGAACTTAGACACTTTTAAAGAAAAGTAAATGTCAAGGGAAAAAGAGAACATTTATAGTGGAGAAATCTGGCAGAAATCATCTTAACCAAGTCATCAAGATTAACATTTTTTTCCACCTTAACCAAGTCATCAAGATTAACATTACTTTTCATAATTTTTTAAAAGTTTACCTATTTTTTTTTTAGAGAGAGACACACAGCATTAGTAGGGGAGGGGCAGAGAGAGAAGGAGACACAGAATCTGAAGGAAGCTCCAGACTCTGAGCTGCCAGCACAGAGCCCAATGCAGGGCTTGAACTCACGAAGCATGAGATCATGACCTGAGCTGAAGTCGGACACTCCACTGACTGAGCCACCCAGGCGCCCCAAGATTAGCATTTACCCTCTGATAGGAAGTATTGAGAAAGGAACATCAAATAAATGAGAAAATATCAGAAAAATCCAAACTGGCACGCAATCTGTAATATACCTGGACGGTACTTTTAAAAAATTGTCAAGGTCTCGACAGACAAGGAAAGACTAAGAAAGTGTTACTGATTTGAGAAGATTAAGGAGATATGCCGACTGAATGCAATATGGTGTTTCTGATTGGGTCATGAGGCCAATAAAGATTTTAGTGGAAAAAAACAGAATAAAGTTTGTGGTTTAGTTAGTAGCATTATATCAATTACTAGTTTTGATAAATGTGTTTTGTTTATAAAATGCTACCCTTAACAAAAACTGAGTGAAAAGTATATGGGTAATCTCTGTAATATCATCTTTGGAACTTTTCTGTAAATCTAGAATTGTTTCAAATAGAAAAAAATTTAAAACAAACATAAAAAGTAGAGATACTGACGACTTGAACAATAAATAGAATACACTTAAACGATTATCTTTATAGAAAGTTCCACAGACGACCAGTAAAGACTTTTTTTCTGCACATAGGGAATATCCATAAAGAGCAATAATGTACTAAGCCATAAATAAAACCCCCGAAAACTCCAAAGGGTCACTATCGTCCAGATTACTTTTTGACAATAATTTAATAAGAATTTTGTAAAAAAAAAAAAAAAAGAATTTTGTAACAAAAAATAGCAACAAAATCACATGTGTTGGTTTATTAAATTATATATTACTAAATATACCTTTGATACTTTTAATGCTTAAGTTAAAGAAAATAATAAAGGATATAAATAGATATTTAAAACAGTATGATAATTAAAATAGTACATGTCAAAAATTTATCAGACAGGGGTGCCTGACTGGCTCAGTCAGTGGAGCTCACAACTCGTGACTTCACGGTTGTGAGTTCAAGCCCCACATTGGGTGTAGAGATTACTTAAAAATAAAATCTTAAAAAAGTCGTCAGATAGATCAAGCAGTATTTAGAGAAAAGTATGCAGCTTTAAATAAATAAATCATATATAGTACCTAAATTATATAAACATTCAATTTAGGAAGTTGAAGAAGAGGAATAGGGCAAGTCTAAAAAAGAAAAGAAGAAATTATAATGATCAAGAGACAATAAATTAGAGAATCAAAATGGAGATAAATAATACCAAATTATGGTTGTTTAAAAATAGTAACACGATAGATGGATCTCTGGTGAAACTTACAATATAATGTGCACATAAAACATATACAATGAAAAATAGGAAATGAATCTTGACATAACAGAACCGTAAAACTAGTAGAGTATCATGAAAAAGCAATGGCCATAATTTGAAAACCTAGATGAAATGGATAAATTCCTAGGAAAATATAAAATGCCAAAACTGACTTAAGTAAAACTAAAGAATTTTAATAGACTGATAAGTATTAAAGAAATTGATAAGTTAATCAAAAGCCTCCTTTCTCCTGAAACATCAGCTATAGATTGTTTTACCAAACATTTTTGTTTGAGGTATAATTGACATACAATGTTATATTAGTCTCAGGTGTACATATGTATATTTTGCTAAATGGTCACTACTATTTCCAATTACTACCTGTCACCTCAGAAAGTTAATACAGTATTATTGACTATGTTCCTCATGCTATACGTTACATCTCCACAACTTACATGTACATGACTGTTAAACAACTTGGGGTTAAGTGTCCTGACATCCACAGAGTCAAGAATCTGCATGTAGGTTTTGACTCCCCCAAAACTTTACTAATAGTCTACTGTTGACAAGAAGTCTTACTGGTAGTTTATCAACAGTTTATTAACTTTTGATTAACATATTTTGTACATGTATTATGTACTATTCTTAGTATTATATACTGTATTCTTATAATAAAGTAAGCTAGAGAAAAGAAATGTTATTAAAAATACCACAAAGGAGAGAAAATACATTTCCAGTACTTTACTGTAAAAATGTGTATATAAGTGGGCCCATGCAGTTCAAATTGGCAGTATTTAGGGGTCAACTATATTTATTTTATAACTGGAAATTTGTACTTCTTAAACCCTTTCACCCATTTCATGTCCCTAATGCCCCTCCCCTCTGGCGACCACCAATCTGTTCTCTGTTTTTATGAAATGGGATTGTGTTTTGTATTGCTTGTTAGATTAAACATGTAAGAGAAATCATGTGGTATTTGTCCTGTTCTGACTTATTTCACTTAAGAATAAAACCCTCAAGGTCTATCCATGTTATCACAGATGGCAAGATATCATTTTTTGTGATATATATCCTATATATATATATATATATATATATATATATATATATATTTCACATATCTTTTCAAATTAATATTTTTGTTTTATTTAAATAGATACCCAGTAGTGGAATAGCTCAATCGTAAGTACTATCTTTATTGTTAATTTCTTGAAAAACCTGCTTTCATAGTAGCTGCGTCAATTTCCATTGCCACCAACAGCGCATAAGTGTTGCCTTTAACCACATCATTGCCATCACTCGTTTTATCTTGTCTTTTAAATAGCCATTATGTCTTCTTTAGAGAAGTGTCTATTCATGTTTTCTGCCCATTTCTTCACTGGATTATTTGTTTTCGGGTGTGGAGTTTGGTGAGCTCTTTATAGATTTTTGGATACTGGCCCTTTGTCCGATATGTCACTTGCAAATATCTTTTCTCATTCCATTGGTTGCCTTTTAGTTTTG